TCTCTATTTGAAGCTGCTTGTTGAGCATATAACATGGTCTTCGAAATCATGACATCGATCCTTTCATTGACTATCCTTATCTCATTGTTTTGATCAAACCCATGTTTCTACTATCGAGCGGTCACCCACAGATGAAGAGGCACCCATCCTCCTCCTAATCCATTTACTTTAGACTCATTTATGCCTCTTGTGATATCCTTTAGGCCTTTGCCACGAAATCAAGAGCTAGCATATTATCCCGTGACAATCAAAAATTGGACAACCTATTTATATACAGCCATTTATACAGCCATGTTCTATCGTCACTATATCTAGGTGTTTCTACAAATGGTAGCCGTGTTTTCCGTTGCTTACAGCCAGGTAGTTCTTTGACCAACCAACATTCTCAAGAGGTATTGTAGGCATTTCGGCGGGACCCATAACCTGTCTCTCATTTTTCTTGCTAACATGCTTGCGAGTGAGCTTGCCGTTGGCAGCTGGATTACAAAAAGCCCGGGAGAGCGTACCACCACAATCCATTGTTGGGGAGACACTGAAGAATAATTATGGCTCATGCTTCACCAGCTAGTACGTCTGTCCTCTCTACTATGCATTCCATACTTTAAAACCACCGCCCCCAAGCGTATCCATAAAAACATCCAATGCCAAATTAAACACCACCCCCCGCACACCATAAGCTAATTCACCGCAACCTTCCTTCCAATATGGCTGCGCCTGTGGCCCCAATTTCTCAAGTAACAAGGCCGTCTTTACCCTTATTTTTAGACCAAGTAACCCGAAAAATTCTCTTTGTATCCTCGATTGCCTCATTATCGCTGTACTTTCATACGGATGTGGGCGCACCGCAGTTGTTCATGCTAAAAGTAAAGCACACAAAAGGTTGTAGCACGCTGCCATAAGATTTCGCACGCCTGAATTCTCGCACAAATTGCTATTCCATTTTATTACCTATAAACGCTCCAGAAATCGAAAATATATCTTAACAATCCCGTCACAGCTTTTCACCCAACACAGCTCACTTTGGGCGGATGGCATTTGTGAACTATACCGAAGTGTGCTTTATTCGTTTCTGCCTTGACTTCTGCAACAGTTTTGACAAGAATCTTGACATTGCTCTTTCAATAAACCCAAAACTGCGGGTATTGGTGGTCCGCTCGTCTGTTGATACACCCGAAAACTCAGGGGAAAAATTAGGCTAGTAATATACGTAGCTTCTCCTCATGGCTAAATCTCATCACCAGAGGAGTTATTCATAACAGTGTGCTTGAACCACTAATTATCTAGCTGTACATCAACAACGTCAACGAAATAATCGCTCGTATCTCGTTTATTCCATTTAATGCCGATATCCAGATAATGTACACACTCCAAGCCAGTGATCCTGGACGTACCTTAGCCGACGTCCAACCTTATCTGAATTCCTTCCCTTCCTTACTTCCCTCCCTCCCTTCCTTCCTTACTGCAGGCTATGTTAAGGCCATTACTTTCATTCATTTCGCAGCAACCCACGTTCAACTGCCATCCCTCAACAAGTTAAGAGTAATCCTTAAAACCAGCTCTGCATTCACTTCACAGTATCCAAAGGCTCATCGGACTGCCTTGAAAGATGTGTTCGTTTGCCAAGTTTTTAGTTTCCTCGCCGTCCGCCCAACCAAGTCGCTCTCACTGTTCGCCTTTTGGGTTGGGTCATTTTCGACTGAGACGTCACTGATTAAACCCAGGTCTTATGCACCACCCGACCCACCAAAAGCCGAAAACTAATGGCTATCGCCCTGGTTTTGCTTCCGCCTCCTTTGTGATGCAAATGACCCCAGTTTTCTGCTCTTCCTGTCGATTTATTAAACTAAATAATCAAGGCTGTTTACTCCCCCCATCTTAGGCCGCGAAAAAGACTAGCCTCCATATTCACACCATATGTCTACGTTGGCTTCTGAGACATTTTTGGTTCCCACCGAAAGTCTTCTTGTGACACAAGTTTTTCTGAAAACATTTTTCAAAATAAGCTGTTAACCGTTCCAGCCTTTATCCTTCATTCCCTCGCCCACTGTTTCGTTACTTTAGATTTAATTTTCTGCATTGTCCCAAACCATATTTGGAACAGGTTTTACTCCAGTTGCTCTCGGCTAGTAGCCATTGTCTGCCACATCAGCCAACAGAATTTGTCCTCCTCCGATGAATGCATCCGAACGCTATTTTCGAGTGGCAAGCTTGTCACTTAAAACGTCTGACACTAGCCCTTCTACATTCTTTTCAAAGCCTAACCCTCAGCCTCCGTTATTTCCCCCACATTGTTTGAGCGGGTTTCAACCTCTGACCTACCCTGAGAATTCTCTTTAATATTCGGAGCTCTGTTTTTCTATGCTGTAATTAATACCAACCTAAAAAATGCAACTCACTCTTCAGCCCACCAACAATGATGTACTGTACATACAGAATGATAGTCCTGCGCCCTACTTGGTCGATCACACCAACTTTATATCATCGTTTCCCCACGACGCACACGCTTTGAGCATCTCCGTTCTTCCGCAATGCCTTATTGGTGATCTCAGACTCAGTTGCTGCACCCTTACTGTGCCTGTTTAGGCGTCCGTAAGTTGTCTCTTTTCAAATTGATCGAGATTTTCGGTCCCAACGTTCGTCCCCTGACCAACTAAAATACCTGGTAGCTAGGGTTCTTCATCAATACATAAGCTTCTGTTATGGCCGTTCGGTGGCTCTCAATCTTACAGACCCAGTGGCCTACGCGAGGAATGGAAAGACTTATTGGTCAGGTACGCCATGCAGTGAGCGCTGCCCTGTTTTTTTGCACCGCAGAGCGTTCGAAGTCCATCACCTGTCCCTGATCCCCAAATCACTCAACGCAACCATACGCTTATCTAGGATTATTCGGTGACTTACTGTTACTCCTGAGCCACGCTAAACTTTAATCGTTTAATCCTATCTGAAGTCTCCCCACACGCACTAGACCTTACTCATCTCAAACTATTCATTTTTCTAACAAAATTTCTATCATTGGCAGCAGGTTTTTTGAACGCCTCGTTTGGTGGCTGCCTAATAAGTTTAACCTCCACTTTCCATCCGGACGCATCACCGACCGGGCCAAAACTACCGATAATTTTGCATCAGGTCGATCCTAATTATGGTAACCAAAAGCCTGCCTTACAAAAAAGCATTTATTTTCTGGTATTGAAACAAGTTTTACGGTGAAAGCACCTGGTGGAAATAATGAACACGAATAAAGGAACACGAGGCTGTGAGGAGACTCCCTGATTTTAATAACAAGACCAAGAAAACCGCAAAGTTAATATGGATAAATGAAATTGTTGGCATACGGAAACATGAGTCGTGGAGAAGAACTTCAAGGCACTTGGCGCTTTAGGTGAAACCAATCAACTGGTTCAATGAACTGGATCCAATTTACGCACCACCACATTCAAAGGGTCAATATACCAACCAGAATAATCGGGGAAAGCCAAATATCGGATGGACGAATCGGAAAACAAGAAAATTTTTCTCTTGGGATGAAAAGACTGTACGTTGAAACAAAGACGGATCGAAAACTGGAGTCATTCCGGCGTTTACCAGAGAACGAGAGCAAAAAAAGCTCATCTCAAAGCTCACGTGTTCATCGGTCACTCCGGAAATGGGATAATGAGATGGCGGGTAATGAAATCGCCCTAACGATCGCCTAATCGTGATCGCGGGTCAGATCTGGCTAGCAACACGGATGTTGACACAACCATGCTCAACAAATCACATGCAAAGACAAACTACGCCCTTCGATGATGCATTGATGATTTCACCTCGACTGGTGATGAAGCATTCGTAGCCAAATAACTCAGCCCAGCGAATGACCGGCGGCAATAGTTATGTGGTCACCTAAACCAATATTTTGGTCGTTCAGAAACCGAGGCATGCCATTGAGATAATGCATAGTACCGCCATAAAGAGCTTGATGGAACATCCACGGCTGTTATTTTTATGACATAGAATAACCCCTTTCTCTTTCCAGACCTCTATTTGCAAATACGAGAAGACCGCTTACCCTGGCCTGAAAGCCCCGGAGAGGGCATATCGAACCGATCCACTGAACCCTACCCTTAAACCTTCTAGCTATCCCATCGTTTCGGTGGTCTGTTATACTCTCGCATAGTCCTGCCCACAACCCTAGCAATCTTCATGGTGTCTGCTTGCCACTACCCCTTAGCAGTTCATTACACATCTAATTGCAACACCCCCCACTTCACCATTCCAACTCATGATTTTCATTACCGGTCGACGTAATATCCAAGGTGTTTCGCTGACTAAAACAGTTTTCTGTCCTAGACTAAACCAGTTGATTTTGGTTCATCAGCTTGCTAGTGAGCACTCGTCCTCAAAGTTATAGCGTTTTGCTTTCCACGGTTCACAACGTCTGATAATTTAATAACTATGTCCCCTTTCATTTCTTGTTATTCGAACTGTAAGGAATAAATAACGCCTCAGTTAACGTGCTACGTATGAGCCGGGAAATTTTCCGGCATAATCATCATTATTACTACGCAAAGCGACGGCTTATTATTCAGAACTTAGCTCTGCTTCGGCGTTAGTGAATCTATAGTGGTTTAATACAGCCTACATCCCAGTGAAGTTTTGCGAACCGGGCACCCTACACGGTGCCCGCGTAGAGAGGGATACAAAGCATTCATACTCGAATACATGATGACAGCAAGACGTAAGTTCGCAGCATCACAGATTTTGTTCGTGAATAACAAATATAAGCTTCAGTGGATCACCATATTTGTGATTTCCTTTGGGCAATCTAAGCCTCTCGATGTAACTTCACCTTGTGCTTACCAAAAACGCTATTAGGAACAGCAACATGGCACAACCTCTCAGTAGAAAAGCTTATCGGTACCTTAGTTGGCAGGTTATTCACGGCACATGGCAAAAAACAAACTTTTTTTTCCGAAATAATAAGAATTCCCACATAGGTCCTAATATCTTGATTTCGCACACACCGCTTTTCCAATCCGATGATTGGAATTGGATTGCCTTGATGTTAAGTCCACTTCTGTGGTGTGAGAACAAGAGAAACTTATTAGAACTTCATTCACGGGTTGCCCAGGAAAGTCCCACAATTTTCAACGCAGCTCACCTAAAGTGTTCCATTCTGATTGGCACAGATTCTAACCAATCAGAGCGCTGCTCTTTGTAGTCCGTGGCTGGCCAAAAGGCGGTCCAAAAAGGCGTGCTGCTCATTTAAGTTCAGCCACTGGCGTCTGGTCGCTTGGTTTTTGAAGACGCTCCCTGTCCGATCACTGCTTTGATTTGGCTTATAATGTCATGTGGAGATGCTCTGGCTTGCTGCTTTGTCATACAGGAATGTGGTTGCCGATCTGTGACCTAGTAGGAAGACCTAACATCGCATTCATTTAAAAAAAAACACCATTGGTTAAAATAATAATGAGAAATAGGAAGGCCATCGCCTAATCGATTTAGTCATTCTTGATGGTTCAGCTTGTCCGATATGCCAGGAATTGAGGGAACTACGCAGTGAAGGCGGTAGCTTTCATGAGGGTTCGCCATTGCTTCCTTTTCACGGATTCACGGATTGATACACAGGATCGAGGCTTTTGACCAATTTTCACGGGTTGGTTTTGTTCTTGTCGTTCAGCGGCTGTCGTTCATCTGAAAGGCACAAGTGAAAAAAGGGGGCAGCACTGCTCTTTCTGTTTTCAGCGGGGGGAAGAATGCTTGCCAGCGTGAGGACTCGCATAAATAAGTGCTTTGAAATGGGTTCTAGAAGGAGCGTGGACAACTGTCGGAGAAAGGTGATTCCACTCAGCTACTACTTGAAATGGGAAGAGATTTAGCCTAATGAATGTGTGCGCTCTGAGCTTGAAAATTTTACTATGTGTCCGCCGTGTGTTTGCTGGGTTAACCGTGGAAAACCTATTTGCCAAGCTTTGTTCAAACAGGGCATAAGTAAGAACTAGATCCCTTTGGAGGCGACGGCACTCCATGGAAAATAGGTCAAGCACCGCGAGACGCGTTTCGTAGTCCGCGCATTTGAGTTCAGCAACCATTTTCGCTGGACACGCTCGATGAGGGTGACGTCTTTCGTGCGTCCGGAGTAGACAAGTTGGTTGGCATATTCAAGGAGCGGTATGACGTAGGCCCCATAGAGTATTTGGAAGTCCATGCGAGTAATATGGGAGAAGGTGCGTTGGATCATCCGTAAAATGGTGAATGCCTTTTGGATCAATTTCTCATGGTGCAATGAGAAGGATAAGTTTGAAGAGAGCCAGATACCGAAATCATTCTTTGCGTCCATCGTCATGATACAGCCATATCTACCAGGGTCGTTAACCGTTGGTTTATCTCGTTTCCAGGTCCCCGTCGGAATAGAAGGATGGGGATTAACGTGGATGAACCCACTGGTATGGGCTTTCACGATTCGTCCACGAATCGTGGACTGATTGCCTCTGGAGCATCTCCATCCCATATGTGGTTGGGCAGAGAGAGAGAGAGATCTGAGAGCCAAACTATCTGGCATACGAAGAACATGGCCTAAATAACGTAACCTGTGGAGTGTAACCAAGTGACCAACGGGGTAACTTCTCGAGAACTACCCAGTGACCTGGAAACGAGACAAACCAACGGTTAACGACTCTGGTAGATATGGCTATGTCAAGAAAACAATGGTGAACCTGCATCAAAGCTACCGCCTTCATTGCCTCCCTCAATTCCTGGTATGTTGGACAAGCTGGAATACTGAAAGTGGTTGAATTGATTGGGCGATGGCCTTTCTGTTTTTCATTATCGTTGTGACCGATGGTGATTTTGAAATGAATGACATGATTAGAGTTCCATTTTTCCAGGGAAAGCGTTTCTATGAGCCTGCTTCGTTTGTCTATCGTGCTGTATCCTCCATTCGGGCAACCTCTTGCCCATCCATTCATCAATGACAAGTTACCGCTACACGTATAGCTGGTCTCCTCTTCCTCTGAAGGTAATGACCTATTTGGGATTACTGATGACTCCCACTGCTCTATCCATCTCTGACTCATCATCATCGTCATCATCATCATCATCGACAGCATGACATCAGTGTTCAACACCGATGCTTCACCGCCATACAACCATGACTTATTTGAAAGCCTTATGATAAAGAAAAGAATAAAGATGGATGGGGGAAGGACTTAGTGCTAGCTTAACACAATCATTCCGAGGTGCCTACACCTCCAGACATTCACTCAGGCAATCTGGATAGAAACTGGCAACAAGAACGCCACTGACATAGGTTGGCAGCCACATCTTGTAGCGTCTCCAACCAGGCACAGCGAGGATCACGGGGTCCCCATCCTGGAAGGCGAGTAGCACCGACAGCACCCAAGCGTTTCGTGATCTCCTTCATACTCCTGTGCCAAGTCAAGGGTTGGCCACCTCTCTGTTTACGCCACTC